GATAGGTCAGAGGGCACTTAACTAAAGCTAAATAAGTTTGTGATTATACTTATTACAATCGGGGATGTGTGGGTCCTGGTGACACCCAGCCCTTGATAAAAAATTGTTATGTTAACTAAAGCTAAAGAAATTTGCGATTTGAATATACTTATTTCAATTGGGGAGGACCGCACCCGCCCCGTTAAAAAAAAACGAAAGCTTAATTTGTTCACGATTTTGGATATACTTATTACATGTGAAATTACATTTCCGCCCCTCGAAAAATGAGCACTCAAGAGGCGCGTGTGTCTACTGCTGAAGAGTAACATGCATTTTTAACACATTTGAATGCTTTAAAATGCATTGCAATGTTTCTCAGTGATTTGTAACGGATTTTTAACCTTTCTATGAATGCATGCAACTTTGTCAAATGATGAAGAATGATGAACACATTGGAAATGTAACCATTTTTTTGTGTGATGATAGAAATGATAGCGAAGTGTCAACGTGGGATATGTAGTCACTCCAACATTTCCTCTTTACAATGCGCTTGGCAAAGTAGGCTAAAAACTCTGTAGCCTACCAAACTGAATAAATGTATAGGCTAGAAGCGTAAAAGACGTTTTTAAAGTAGTGTGTACAATAATTTTTTAAAACATAAGTTGTAAAGGCCTTCTAATCTAGTCTCCAAAAACGTCATTTCCAAAACTAATTGACACATGATTACTAAATCACTCTCATTATTACATATAGTAGTAGTACCATATAGATATATTGTATGTAGTGTTATAGTTCTCATGACTGTTGAATAACATTGTGCATAGCCCACTGAAAGTGCATTTCAGTATCTGTACGTGTTATATTTGATTTTGGAGTCTTGCTCGCTTTTATGTTCATCTTCGAAACTGAAAACAGGATCAAGAAGTGCTCTGTGAACACAGGTCAGATAAATCATTGAATCAGCTTGTTTAACCAGTCACTAGCTGGATTCTGTATGCTACATGAAAAGAACAGACTCTAGTTTAGTTTACAGCACTAGCTCTCTTGGTGAGCTCTTGTTTACAGCAATAGTTAAGTAACTGATGAAGGATCCAATATTTTGGTTCCGAAATCGGTCTTGCAGTCATAGCTAAGCAGGAGTGTTACAATCTTACACCTTAACCTTGACACATTTACAATCTGGTACCAAATAAATCAGTGTTAGTGGAAAGCCTGATTCCGTGCTTAATACTACACTCAAACCTGCCTTGGGAAATGGCAAGCTGACTGTTACATACAGGGTGACTGCCATAAATATCGTACTATATACAGGCAACTGATAATTTTGGGAAGTTGTTTCAGTGACCGTAATATTCAGGGTGACCGCTATATACAGGGCCCTTTTATAGGGGTTTGACTTTATGCTGTCTTTTGACTCAAACAAGCATATTCTCAACCAGCTATATTGTACCGTTTGCAGGTTAATGGTAGTAAAGCTTTTCATAGGACTTTTTAGTTCATTATCCTTCAATGACAACACAATCGTAAGAAATTTCTATTTCTATAAAGCAAAGATTTGCCGCGAAATTAAAGAAAATTGCACTTGATCACCTTTGATTATAGAACTATGCTTGACCTGTAGTCAAGCACATCATATGGATTACAGCATAACGGAGCCAATAAACTAACCACTGCTGATCATTTTTACTTCTTCTTAGCGGCTAAAGTTAAGCTAAATCCTGCAAGTGTAGAAGCTGAGGACTCTTAGCCTTTATTATAACCCTGATGTGGTGCAGGGAGGCTATCTATGTCGACGAAAGTACTATTGATTTTCCTATTTTTCTCCTATTTTTTAATACAAAGTTTCCTATTTTTCCTATTTTCTGAATCCTGAGTTTCCTGTTTTCCTATTTTTTTGAGCAACCAGGTCACTGGACACTCTGTGATAGGACTAGGTAGCACTGGAGACATAAAAACTCTGCCAATGCTCTTGTCCTACCCCACGGAAGTGGGACAAGAAGTGAGGGTTGTGTTTTTGTTGTGAGCATAACCCAAAGTTGCTATAACCTGCCTCAAGGATTTGTGTCCCCCTCATTACGCCATCTTGTAGTTATTTTCTCATTTAGCCTGCGTGTGTTACTTAATTGCATGACTTTGTCATGTATATCTTAAGCAGAGTAGTGACATTAACTTGTTGTTTCTGTGTGTTTGTTTTTTAGTGCTGTTCATGTTGCCAAGTTTTTGGTGGATGGGTTGCATGCAGTATCGGGGTCAGACGATACGTCTGTCAGGTGCTGGGATATATCAACAGGCTACAATGTTGCTGTGTTTAAGGAGCATCAGGTATAGCTGTCGTTCAACAGGTTTTTCTATACTATGTAACTAAATATGCCATAATGGCAAAGTATATCTCTACAGCCCATCGTACCTTGTAGAGTTGATTAGCGTAATTTTACAGATTAAGCCAAGTTGAAGCTCCAGTGAATAAATTTAAAGTTTACATCAAAGAAGAAACTTGTAACCACTGCAAAGATATCCACAAATCAGTTAGCTTTTGGGGAGATCTGTATGACGTTTAAAGGAGGGGCTTGGCGATTTTAGAGAAAAATAATTTTATGCTATAAAGTCCATTTTAAGACACGATAGTGCAGGTTCTTGGACGTTTCTACAGTATTATAGTTCGTTCAGTTAAGTTGTTTTACTTTCTTACTTTGACCATGATTGTGAGGATCAGTTTAGTTGCCCTCAAATGTCTCCCTATCTTACTTACTATCTTTACTTGTATTGTCACCCTACTCTTAAAGAAGACAAATTGCTGGAAAAACTTGGGTTCCCGTTCCCCCGAGGCTTTTATGAAGATCTTTACAGGATATCGCCCTGTATAAGTCACTCAAAAAGGCGGGGGTATCATGAAGGGACCACCTTCGCTCGTGTTGCCGGGCTAAGAAAAAAATCTGACATAATTACCTTTTAATACTCCTTAGCTGTTCTTCAACAGGGTTGTTTCTTAATAAAGTTACCATGGTACAGCCTGACAAACATGTACTCTATACAGGTAGCTCTTTAAATAGAGATGGCCACGGCAAAATAACTACTTCACCTTTTCTGTCACACAGGCTGAAAACAGAGTAAGAACCATTTTAGTTATGCAATGATGTTTCACTTGTTATGCATGACCACTATGGTGCTCAGTCACCTAGACCGACTACAGCACAACAGTCGTTTTATTTGTTATGCATGACCACTAAGGTCCTCAGTCACCTAGACCGATTACAGCATAACAGTCCTCAGACCTTCATTTGAAATGAAACACCATCATATCATTGGCTATTGAGGCTAATTATGAGATAGCCAGATGGAGTATTTTAAAAAACAGATAGATCAGGTACTTGTGATCCAGCTAATTATTCGGCAATGTCTCAATGATGACTTTGTGACTGAACCCACTCTACCAGTCTGAGAAATAATATAATAATAATAATATACAATATTTATAGAGCGCTAATTCCCAATGGTCCAAAAGCGCTTTACATAATAAAAATAACAACAAAATCCTAAACCTACAAAACTACATTGTCTTTCTATAAAAATTCCCAGTGGTCCAAAAGCGCTTTACATAATAAAAATAACAACAAAATCCTAAACCTACGAAACAACAAAACTATATTGTCATCCTATAAAAACATCATCATTCTATACGACAACATCATAACCAATTTTAAAAAGCCAAGTCTTGAGCTTAGATTTAAAAGAAGAAAGGGAATTACAAGATTTAAGTTCGAATGGAAGTGCATTCCAAACAGAAGGTGCAGCAATAGCAAAAGACCGGCCACCATAAGTTTTAAGATTAAATTTAGATGTAGAAAGTGAAAATTGATTGGAGGATCTAAGAAGTCTACCGGGTGTATAAGGCTTGATGAGATCAGTGATATAGCTAGGTGCAGCACCATGAAGCACCTTAAATGTAATTACTGCAAATTTGAAAGTTATCCTTTGTTCAAATGGTAGCCAATGAAGTTGAATAAGCAACGGCGTAACATGCTCATATCTACTAGTAAGGTGAATAAGCCTAGCAGCACTATTTAGGACACTCTGTAAACGTTTCAAGATACATTTAGGCTGACCGTAGAGCAGTGAGTTACAATAGTCAATCCTTGCAGTAACAAAGGCATGAATTAGAGTTTTACATGTATCGTAAGAAAGAAACTTGCGAATCTTAAAAATATTGCGTAAATGAAAAAACGAAGACTTGCAAACAGCAGTAACGTGCAGCAACATCGATAGAGAGTTATTAAAAATAACCCCAATATTTTTAGCAGTAGTTGAAGAGTCAACAGTGTCAGAGGCAATCACCAGGTTTTTTAACGCAGGACGTGGGCGATAGGAGGATGAAAAAACTATAATTTCAGTTTTCCCACTGTTCAGCTTCAGCTTGTTACTTAACATCCAAAGGTCAATATCTTTAATTCAATCTTCAAGAGCAGATGTACATGTTGACAAATCCTCAGGCGATGACGTTTCAAAAGATAAATATAGCTGTGTATCATCAGCATAAAAGTGATAAGATAGACCATGAGATCTTGCAATATCACCTAAGGGGGAAGTGTACAAAGAATACAGCAGGGGGCCCAACACGGAACCCTGAGGTACACCATAAGGTAAGGCATGCACATCAGAAGAGACATCGTGGATTCTGACATACTGATTGCGATCAGATAGATATGAACGAAACCAGTCCAGTGCCTGGTCACAAATGCCAAAACGGATAGATAGTCTAGCAAGGAGAAGGGAATGATCAACTGTATCAAAAGCAGCAGACAGGTCCAGTAGAACCAAAACAACTGATTTTTGATTGTCAATGGACATAGCAATGTCATTGTAGACTCTGAGAAGAGCCGTTTCGGTGCTATGGTAAGCACGGTAGGCAGACTGAAAGACTTCACACAGACCATTGTTGTCAATGTAACAATTTTCCAGATCACAGGGCAAAGGAGATCAAGACAACCAAGGAGTATTCTAGAGGGGACAGGGTCAAGTTCACAAGACTTTGATGCCAAAGGGTGCACAATCTGAAGTAAGGTCGAATATGAAGGACAGCTCAAACGATGGAGTCTAGTTGTTGCTACTGTGACTTCATTAACTCATTCGCCCCTGAACCGCCTGTAACCGCCCGTGCGGATCCAGGTCCTTTCTACCCTTTGTGACGTCATCAGTTTTTTAAACCATACCAGAATGAGCACAATTCAGTCAAGGACACCGGAGAAAGAAGCAAAAAACCACGTGACATTGACCTGAAAATCTCCATGAAAATCTTGTTTCATTACCCACCTACCTTTCCTTTCACCTAATCGTAAGATCCTAAAAGCTTTCCTAAAAACTCTTCCCACCAAAATGAAGCCTACTAAATGCCCAGCAAGAGAAAAAAAAATGAGGCAAGAAAAGCGAAAAAAGGAGGAGAGAAAGCCAAAAGTAAAAGTCAAGACTGCTGCGTCACTTTTAAACCCAAATTTTGCTTTCTGCGCATGCCCGAACTTCGCAAGCTGATATTTTGCATCTGGATCAGAAGGCCGCCAAGTGTACGACCTGTAAACCGGTTTGTGGTAAGTTTTAGCTCTTTATAGCACGACAGTGACCAGAAAACCACTCGACTAAGTGTACGACCTGTAAACCGGTTTGTGGTAAGTTTTAGCTCTTTATAGCACGACAGTGACCAGAAAACCACTCGACTAGCTTCAAAACGCGTTTTTCGGCAAAATCTCCGGGAGCGAATGGGTTAAATAAATAAGTTCCCTGCATAGGGTTTGATTCCAGTTCATGTCGAATAGTAATAATCTTCTCACCAAAAAAGCCAATGAATCTATTTGCAAGATCCGCCACGGAAGAGCAAGGTGGATACTGTGGAGCAGGACTCCGATGTAACAACTTACCGACAATGCCAAACAGTTTCCTCCGATTAAGGCAATTATCATCAATAAGCTTGGTGTAATATTGTGAGCGGACAGAGAGTAATAGCTCATTGACAATACGATTTTGTTCAATAAAACGCAGACGACCTTTGGGCAATCTAGTCCTACGCCATCTCCTTTCCAGTCGGCGACGAACTCTTCTCTCCAGTTTAATCTCCTCACTAAACCATGGAGCAGCGGGACGTATGGTAACCGTGCGCGATTTTAATGGCACATGCTTATCCAAAACGCTAGTTAACTCCGAATTCTACAAGTGAGGCAGCGTGAGTAAATCATTGGATGATTCAGACAAAAGAGGAGACATTGCAACATCTTGTCAAAAATGCTCCAAGTTGATGGCTTTTAATTTCCGACCACAAATACGCTTCCTTTCCCAATTAGGCTTAACAAGACGAAGATCAGCACAAACAGTTTAATGATCCGATATCTCTGAGGAATCATCAACTGAAATAGCATTTAAAATATATTCAGCATCACGAGCGTGACCAGATCCAAAGTATGTCCAGCTCTGTAGGTGCAACTACGAACATGTTGTTGTAAATCAAATGACTCCAATAAGCTCAGGAAATTAGCCGCCGTAGTATCAGTTGTATCATCAACATGAAAATTAAAATGACCAGCGAGTACAAGTGAACCACTTTTAGTGATATAGGATTCTAAAAGCGACGAAAATTCTTTCATAAAAAGCTCAGTAGAAAGATTGTTTCCAGATGACGGTGGAGGACGATAGACAATAAGGATGGAAACAGATTGCGAAAAAACCTTAACTTCACATTCGATGGCTTCAAAGGAAATGAAGGTGTCCAGATAGACCTTTGATGTCTGATTAACTGGCAACAAACTTTTGAAAAGCAATCCGACGCCACCACCTCTTCCATCACGAGCAGAGTGTAAAAAGCGATAGCCTGTTGGGATAAGACTTCCGATTATGAAATTATCATAATCCCCAGTGTTGAGCCAGGTCTCGGTAATAGCAAAAATATCAAAATCCTTGTCCACAACATAGTCCTTGATATATAGATACTTATTGCGGACTGATCGACAATTCAGGAGGCCAAACAAACAAAACTTCGGAGCCGATAAAGTAGATTTGTTGGAGATAACAGGTTTCCTGTTCGAAGTAATGCAAATCTGCACGAGATTACTCTTGTTAACAGCATTATGCAAATTTTTAACTTTAGAAGGAAAAGTTCTTCAACTTTCCACAGTATTGATGGGCCAAACCCTGTCGGTAATTCCACTCTTGACTTCCAATCCTGACAGAGTTAGATTAGTTGTTGATGTTCTAAGATGAAGATCAGAATCACACTTGATTTGCACGAGGTTACAAGGGTTACAACGTCGTTGCATTTCATGGCGCTGCCGAAAGCGATTTGTTGTAAACGATGTAATAGAAGGACCAGGGTTAGGATTGATGTCACCGCTGGTTGCCAGCCGAAGTCGAGTAGCATTGAAAGTAGAAATAGAGTTTGGTGTGTAAGGTATTCGCGAAGTAAAGTAGCGATTCGTCTTTGTTGAGGATTGTAATCCAAGATGGCGGGTCGATTTCATCCATGACGAGCAAATTGCAAGGTAC